CTTCAGCTGGCTAAAGAAAGAGCCTCTCCACCCCCCCAGGATGCTTGAAGGAAACTGAAACGAAAGACAGTAACTACAGGGGTTGTGAGAGATTGCTGGACCCAGGCTAAAGGGAGATTAGCCTGTAAAAGGGAGCATGCTGGAACTGGTGAGGAACTTATCTGTATTTAGTTTGATTAGGCATAGATTTGCGCATTTTATTTTATTTTGCTTGTGACTTACTTTGTTCTGTCTGTTACTACTTTAAACCACTTAAATCCTGCTGTCTGTATTTAATAAAATCACTTTTGATTTAGTAATTTACTCAGAGTATGTATTAATACCTGGGGGAGCAAACAGCTGTGCATATCTCTCTATCAGTGTTATAGAGGGCGAACAATTTATGAGTTTGCCCCGCATAAGCTTTATGCAGGGTAAAACGGATTTATCTGGGTTTAGACCCCATTGGGAGTTGGTCATCTGAGTGCTAAAGACAAGCACACCCCTGTGAGCTGTTTTTGGGTAAACTTGCAGTTTTGGGACAAGTGATTCAGACCCTGAGTCTGTGTTGGAGCCAGACAGGAGTGGCTGGCTCAGCAAGACAAGGTGCTGGAGCCCTAAGCTGGCAGGGAAAACAGAAGCAGGGGTAGTCTTGGCACATCGGGTGGCAGCTCCCAAGGGGGTTTCTGTGATCCAACCCGTCACAGTCCATTGCTCCAGAGGTTATTCAATAAGGACCAAATCTTCCCACTGAAGTCAATGGCATCCATTACCCATTTTGCTGTGAATTGAGAGGTTTTATGTTTTGAAATCTTTTGGGGGAGGCGCTCTGAGCCCTTCCTGGCCTGAGATTAACATATCATAAAAGCATAAGAATGGTCCACCTAGCCCAGTATCCTGTCTTCCGATAGTGGCCAATGCCAGGTGCTTCAGAGGGAATGAACAGAACAGGTAATCATCAAGTGATCCATCCTGACACCCATATCCAGCTTCTGGCAAACAGAGGCTAGGGACACTATCCCTGCCCATGCTGGCTAACAGCTACTGATGGACCAATCCTCCGTGAATTTATCTAGTTCTTTTTGAACCCTGTTATAGTCTTGGCCTTCACAACATCCTCTGGCAAAGAGGATTTTTTATATATATATGACAATACAATTCTTTTTGCTTTTCTACTTTTCACATTTACTTTTTAGCATTGAAAACCTCTCCTGTTCCTGAGAAAAGATACACACAGTGCTGCACATACTGTTTGCATTCACTATCCAGAGGCAGCAGTGCACATGGCTGGTTGTAAATTACAAGTCCTGTATCTCACATGTAAAACAGGCCATGCTTTTGCAGACAATGAGTATCAGCATTATGAGTACGTCTTTCAGAAAGCTTCTCATGACAGAACATAGGCCTCAATTTGTGCCTGCAGTGTCTAGACACTGTGCTGCCTGGTGTTTTTAGCATATTTCAATAGCAAATAAAAATCATGTTTAACACTCCGTTTTTATACGGTATAAGAATAGTGCTGCTGCAGCAACTACATTGGCTGTGAAAACTAAGTCTAAGTATTCCTGTTATCCAAATGTTGCTATTGTATTTCACTGATGGAGGCATGAGCGTAAACCCACCTGCTAGTAACCCGTGTCTTCCTGTTCCTCCATGAGAAACCTTTCTGTTCACCTTAGGTCTGCAATCAAAGCTACTTTGTGACAACTCACTTCTTCCATATCTATGTGGTCTGCAATAATAAAGTAATATATCCAAAATGCAAAACGAATAGCTAGGTTTACTAGAACAGAGGTATTCTGCCTGCTAGAAACCTGAGAAGTAGTGTCAGAAACAAGAGAAAGCTGTGATATTACTGATGTATTTTAAAAGTCTGCTCTCCTCTCAAGTAGCAGATTGCAGTGAGACCTAAGAGTGTTATAGCCTCGGTTCTATGATGGAAGTGGATGAATGCGTCAGTTTGCAATTAGTAGTATAAAAATTAACAGCTTCTAACAAGTGATCACCTGCTGTGCCCTGTTGTATATAGATGACAAACACATATTGTTGACATGGTTTGTTTTACTGAGTTACTGCAAAATACGATACTTCGCAAACAGTACAGAGCAATTCTATTGAAAACAATGTTAAACACATGGTAATTGGTGTGTCATCTTGTGATAATGTAGTAAATACCAAGGCTTTAATAGATGAAACAGCAAACTATTTTCTTCACAGCCGAGTAACAAAAGAACAACAGAAATCAAGCTCCTCCATGTATTTTATTAGATACTGTGTTTCATGTACACAGCTCTCCATCCAGCTTTAATACTGGCAGCTGGTAGTGAGGTTCACTTTTGGTGGCTTCCGGTTCACTGTATACCCTCTCAGCATTCCCCATCCTGAAAACTGTCTATTGCTATTAAATCCACTCAGCGTTGTAAAGTGTTGCCACTATCCTCTGCTTATGCCATGCTGGACTGAATTAGCCCCCCTTCAATGACTAACGTTAAGTAACGTCTCTGGAGGGCAAATTCAGTCCTTTCAATGGCAGGGAATAGCTTGTTTTAAAACTGGAGGACAGAATAATAGGAGAGAGAAGAGAATAAAAGGAAGGTAAGATGAGAAGACCTGGAAGGACAAAGAATGGGTAAAAAAGGGACAGTGCATTTGTAACAGTAACAATGACTATTCAAGCAGCAGAATTCTTGATACAAGGAAATTAGTTAATGTAACAGCTCAAGTTATTAATCATTCTCACTGGCCATTGCACATGAATTGTATGTGGAGTACAGCGATAAGGGGGGATATGATAATTACTTCAGATTTATAGCAGTGATCAAAAGCACCATCCTATTTATGCCAATGCAAGGCCCATTGCCATGGAAAATGGAGTGGAAATAGCACTTGTCAGGCAGTGGATGAATTGTCAGAACACTTGTCAATCGCAGCCAGGATTGCTGGCGGAGTGCAGAAAGTGCCATTTTTCAAACTGCCTAAAAGACTCTACTTAGCTTCCCCCTGACTCCCCCACTCTCCCTTTAATTTTCAAAAAGGTAAAAACAAAAAAACACTAGGGGAAACACGTGAAAGATGTTTTTTCTGGACATTCCTTTTCCATAGGCATTATGAGTTGAAGGTCCTGACCTATGTTTTACTGGTCTGACCTGTGTGCTAGTGTAACAGAATTCAGAAGTCAGAACCTTCAACAGATGAACCTTTAACTTTCTTCATATTTCCTTTTTTAAATTTTTAGGGTCCAATTCACAAATGCGAGTACCAGTTCTGCACTTGCAAAACATTTGCATATACCCACAGTGTGTGGGAAATGGATAACTGTATACATAAGCCCCAGTTTTCACAAGCCAGGGTGTTTTATATGTACAATGCGAGTGTGCACATATTTTGCAAGTACAAAACAGGCTCTCACTTTTGAAAAACTGTGTCCTTTAAAATAAAAATTATACATCTGAAATACAAAATGTAAATACGATGTTAAACTTCAACTTCTTGCTTTGGTATTGAATCAATGGGAAAAACAATTCACAATGCCATCCTCAGCCTTGCAGTGACTGAATTATAAACAAGTGAAATATAAAAGTAACAAATTCGAATAGCCAAAGAAACTTGCAAATACATTCAACAATAAGCAGCATACTAAGAACAAATGGAGATGCCACAGACTACAGCATTGGTAATATAAATGAAAACTGAATATTTGTAGAAAAATCCAAAAAAGTCTTCCAGACCTTTTTCCTGTAAAATTCAACATAGTTGCAGAAAAATGATATAGCAGCTTTCAATACAATTTAGTTCTTAAGTTGTACATTTGTGTTGGACTGAAGAAAATTAAAAGGGCTTCCAACGAGTTAGGCAGCAGCATAATAAGTGCATTCAAAATTTTGATAATCTGTGGCACATGAGTCGTCATGGAATACACAGAATGGTTTTCCTATTTACAGTGTCATACACTTGTATGATAAAGTCTTTACAGCATTTTATAGTACATAACCTGTGGCAAATCACAGTAACATTTCTCAGAAATTAAATCTTAATTATTACAAGGACTAGTGACTCATGGATGTTATTTATTTGTCTTAACCTGTCTGCTTTGCTGAGCTCTCTAGGGTTATAGGCCCCACAACCCAGTTGGCACCAAAAAAAAAAAAAAAATCTGCTAACTTAGTACAGGAACTGACTGATCTCGCAGGTTTACTTAAAGAATAATCGTTATGCTAGCTGCAGTTTGAGGGAATCGCCCACTTTGAGATCATAATTAGTATGGATGTTTCAAACATGTGGTTTGTTTGCTATTTGATAGCATGTTAGGAAATAGGAAAACACTGTATAAACACAATAATATTGTGTGAACCCTTCTACTCTCAGCAACACAGTGAGTCTTTACGAATGATTGTAAACTTACAAAAAAGTGAGCTACAGTACTTCGTGAAGAAGCTGCCTTATCACCAGACTGGGCAGTACCAAAAGCCTTCAAGCTGCCTTTAACGTGAATCTTATTTAAAACTTTAGGCAAAGCAAAGGGCAAGTATTTTACAAAGTATGACACAACTGAAAGAGTAATACCTACTAGTACTGTACACATAACACTACGTGCAGCTAATACACAGCAGTAAATGGGGATGGGAAGGGGGGGAGTAAACTGAACAATACATCATCTGCCCCTGGGGTCAACAGTTATAGCCCTCACTACTGTGTAACAAGTTTCATATATGCATTGGAATTAGGCTTTAACAAACAGGATAGGGAACAGAATCAGAAACGAGGAAACATTTGAAATTAACTCTGCAACCTTTATAAGAAACCTGGACACATTCCCCAGTTGGTAAAATCCTGCCACCGAGTGGAGAGAGTGTCATTAAATAAAAATGAGCAATTGGATAAAAATATGGAATTTTTAAAAAATACTTAAAATAAAAGGAACCATTAGTATGGAAAAGTTTAGTTATCTGATTGAGAATGAAGGACAGAGCTGCTTTTAATCAAAGATTGCGTATGTTTCAAAACAAAGAAACTAATCAAAACAAAGACACAAAAACAACCAACCAATCCCATGGTGTTCCCCTCCCCCAAATCAAACAAAAAACCCCAAAACGTCTGGTCATTGTCCATTAGCCTTTGGGTTAATGTTCTCAACTAACAAAGATATTAAAAATGCAAATCGGGATACCTGAACATACACCTTCACATACCTGCCAAGAGCAAACTATTTTTCCTTTCAACATACTACTACTTGTTTCTGAATGCCAAGTGCTGAAGAAATTAGATTTAAGTCAGTGAATGGCACATGGCAACAGACAATGATCTGCAATACACTGATGGCTACATTTTAAAAGGTATTAGACCCTTCGGTTGCTGCAAACATTTTCCCTCATCTTCCACCTGTTTTCTTATTAACCTTCTAATAGGGAATTCAGAACCAGGTCCAGTTTTCCTTCTCATATCTAGGCATACTCTGGAACATCTTTAGAGACTGATCTTATTTCTTGCCAATTCCATTGGTTACTTTTGTTTTGGAATGACGATTCCTTCTTCTAGATGAATGGCTCTCAATGTTGCCTGAATGTTTTGGTGGACTATCTTCAGTACCTACAAAGAAATCAAAATACATTTAAGATTTGGAGCTGACTGTTGAAAGCAATTCTTCACTGTTTTAATTTTTAAGGTTTCCTAGATATGTAATGTTTAAACTACTGTAATTATTGCAGGCTGAAACTATTTGTTTGATACTAGCACTCCATCTAGTGGCCAAATTAAAACATTTATTCTGTCAGCTTCTGCAAGAAAACCTCTCTCCAGGCAACTTCAAAAATTTAACAAATTAAAATGTGATGCTGAAGTGTCCCTCATTTAAACTGATGGCAAATTTGAATGTGGATTAAAATGAGTGACATCTCCCTCATACTGTTGACAATTATTTACATTAGAAATTAAGAACCGTGAAACTGAGGTTGAAGAGAATTATGGAATGAATCCCATCACCAAGTTTCCTGCATGAATAATTGCTTAGTATCTCTCATTTTGCATCTTTGTCACACACATTGGGCCTGTGCAGGTGGAGAGGTCTGATGATGATGAATATACACTGGCATTAACCTCTTGCACACTTCAGCAGAAAATTTGCCATTGAGCAGATAACTCTGATGAAGTCAGGGGACACTGTTAATGTTTTTAGACCAACAATTAGAGTATTTTCTTTTTCTATGCTTGAAAAATCTATTTTAATGGATGTATTTTTTTAAAGAAATCAATCTAATATGCTTCTTTAAATAACAAACCAAAAAGAAATCAATACAGGCAACCTAGGAAATCTGTGCATGCAACTGAAGAAAAACATGTGTAAGTGCTTCAAGTGTCAGGACTCTAGAAAGTTACAATGAAAAGAAAATATTGTTTTAATGATGTAAATACACCTGGAGTGTAACCTCTGAATGGTAGTTTCCAGATGCTAATCTTGTCCTTTTTCCACAGGAAGGTCCTCACTAAAGTGTGAGAAGGAGAAAACAGGCTGCCTACTTGACTTTCATTGCAATAAAAAGTGGCTGACTGACTGTCTGTGTGGACCCTGCTGAACTGCATTAAGCTCGTTAATCAACTAATATACTTTGATCTAGTTCTCTTTGAAACAAAACGCACATCAGTAGGGTCCACATGGACAGCTAGTCTGTGGCAGGCTAGTGCAGGGTAGATTGGCACCCCAACTTGCCATGAACTAAATGTTCATGTAGTCAAGCCATTAGTAAGTGTCAGTAGGAACATAAGCTCCTGGGCACATTCCTGCCTGCTCACTAACAAGCAGGCATAAAAGCACATCTCACATTGTTCACTTGAAGCCATACAGGGGATGTTCAGCGAGAAAACCTGCCCAACAAAGTTGTGAAATTCTCCAATCTCAAACATTCACTGTCAGGAAGGAATGGAACAGTAACAGGCCGAGGAGCCATTTGTTCCATTAAAAATTAAATCACATTCTAATGAATGGAAAGAAAATCAGTGGGGAAAAATAAAAGTGGCTTTGCAGCTTATTTCTATATGCACTTGAATTGCGCGGGTCAGAAAGTAGATCAAATAACCTATACTGTAGGTTTCTCAAGATACATTTGTTAGGACTGAGCTGTATTCCCACTGATACGACACTCAGAACGTGCATGCAAAGCAGCAGTACCTTTAGTGAATTTAGAATGAAGCCATGAGGCATCTGGGCTGTATGTGCTGTCCTCGCTTTCCGACAAGGTCTGTAAAGACAAGGAGGACACACGTCATTTGGAGGCTGAGTCAATCTCCACTTCTCCTTTCCACTACATTTTTGGTTAGGACTTGTAGCATTAAAGCTGCAGCAAGAATTCTGACAAAAATGCTAATGGAAGTAAAGGTCTTTCCCAATCTCATTATCAAGCACAAATAGCTGATACAACACAGGACCGTAAAATGGCAATAAAGCAACAGCTCCGAGGTGGTCTGTCTTTTAACAAAGCTTTTCTCAATATTTTTCATATTCTTCTTGTCTTTTCACGTAGACAGTGGAGACATTCGTTATTTATTATTCCAGTCTTTGATAAAGTTTTAGCCCTATTTCGTACAGCTAGGATTACAGAGCTCCTTGAAGACAACACCACACTTTGGGCCCACTCCAAAGCCAACTGACTTCAATGGAAGCGTTTCCAACTCACTTCAAAGGACTCTGGTTCACACCGTTGATTCCTATGTCAGAATTCTCTTTACAAGAATGTATAACAATGTGGCTGTGTTGCAGTTTAATTTTGGCTTAAAATAAAAATTGAGTCCCCACCAAAGTACCTTTTCTCGGTGGCCAGAGTACTCCGCATACCAAACCATTCCATATAAACACAGGAAAGTCGTAACAGCCTACAAAAGGGTGGAAAAAACAACATAAAAATGTTTACAGAACTTTGGGACAAGATTTCTACTGGTTTAATTGCACTGAGTCAATGCAGCTACTCCATTTGAGAGAGTTTGACCCTTTGTTTCTGAGAATTATTAGTAAATCCAATTTGTTTATTAAAGAAAGAGTATTTACAAATTCATTGTACCATTAACAATTTTCAGAGTATTAGGGCTCACATCTGCAACTCTTACTGGGTTAAGAAGTCCTTACTTACTGAATTCAGCAGGAGTTCTTGTATATGTACACACTACTCAGGTACATAAGGTTTGCAGGATCGAGGCCTCAAGGCATTGCTGGGCACTGTTTCATGAGCGAGAAGTTTCACTTACCACACAAAGAAGCCAAAACACAACATACAATATTTGTGTTTTGGAGAAGAGCTCTTGACCAAACTTTATGCACACAAAAGCTTCAAGGAAACCAATGACTCTGTGGGTAGAGAAAGAAAAAAGGTGAGGTTATAAACACTGATGAGGTAAAGAGTCTGGACTCTGTCCGCTCTAAATAAGCAGTAGCTTTAGCCAGATTTCGGATGAGTACGCCATTCTTTTGCAGCAGTGTTAGTGTAGAGAACATGAAGAATGCTAGGCTGACAGCCCTCAGGGCTGAAATTCTCTGCTTATCCATGATATGGGCACAAAGGGTTCAATGACAGTGAAAGCTTCCCCACACTCTCTGCTAATGCGCCTCTGTCTTCACCTGGAGGGATAAGATGATCATTCCATTTCTATGTCCACTCAACCCACAGGTTCTCTGTTGAGACAGTCAACAATGAGGCAACTGTACTGTGGACACCAGTCTACTTCATGCTGGACTGAACCACCAACTCATTTCACGGAAGCCAAACAGCCATTAGATGGTAGTTACTTTACCACCCTAGAATGGTTTCAGCTGGGGAGCCAGAGGTGAAAAGCCATTCCCAATCCCCTAAGCCACCATTCACTCTGGGTGAGTCCCCAGGCTGCTGCTCCAGTAGATAGGTTTGATAGACATGTGAAGGTTGTGGTGCCTCCCTCAAATTCTCCACCCAGCGGTAAGATGGGAAGTGTAGAAGGAGGGTAGCAAGAAGAAGGGGTAGACCTGCCTATTATCAGACAGCCAGTTCCCTCTCCTAGCTAATATGCACTGGGACATGAGTAGTGGCCACACAAAGCTGAGACTATGCCTTCCTGGCAGAAGGAGAGATTCCAGAATTTTGGCCCCAAGTACACATGAAAGACATTAAAAATGAAGGTCCAGATCCTCAGTAAATCAGTGCAGTTCCACTGCCGTCAAGAGAGCTGCACTCATTTATACCACATGATTTGGTCCTGTAAGTTTGAAAACACAGAGAAACAACCTTCAAGTTTATAAAATTAAGAGACTGGCTCTTATATTTATGGTACAACTGACATATCTGACAACATCCCAGGAAACAAAGCTTCCATACTTGCTAAGTAGCAGGTGACACAATATCACTGACGTACATGACTAATTCATGGATCAGGCCATAGGTGAGAGAAGATAGGGCAGCTCAGACAGCAGCAAGCAAAGTAAATTTGCAGACAGAAAACACGGCTTCAAAAAGGGTAGGTTTTTCTGGTTTGTTCTTTACTGAAAGATACCATGTAGGTGAATATGAAAATTGTAGGACAACAATGCAACATTTAATTTTGCATCTTGGAGTGCAATTATTCTTTTGATGACTTCTATAAAAATTTGCATATATAATTTGCAGCTGATTACACATGTAAAATATTGTTTGATCCAAGTGATACTGAACATTGTACATTCATAAACACAAATCCAATTTAGGCACAGCAATAAGCCCAAATACTTTGCTATAAGACAAAGGGTCAAGTACTGATTGCATCAGACATTATTAAACATCCTTTTAAAAGGCTGCAGAAACAAGAGCTTTTTCAGATGCCATTCTTATACCAAAAAATATTCTTCACAAAGGTGTCAATTTAAAATAGGTCACCAGTTATCAAAGACATCGATTTTAGTCAGTTTATAATTAAATCTTCAAAAGCTCATGGGAACTTGGTGAGAAACTACCATAAGGGGTATATACAATTTATAGCTCATGAGACAGCTGGATAGGCACTGGTACCTTAGAATTTCTTATTAACTTGTTGAAACTGAGGTTCTCTCAGAATAATAAAAATAAGTTTTCTCCTCAGAAGTGTGTCCAGAAAGAACTATGAAAAATTAAATGAGACTGATTGGCTTACAATAACAGTATGCTCACTAAGGACTGGAAAGATTACATAGAGATGTTATCAGAATATCGGTGAGGTGATGGTTGGGGGTGAGGGGAGATTTTGTATGATGTCACAACAGTACGAGTGTGTGCATGAGGGGAGGAGGGAGGGAGGAGAGTTTATAGATGCCTGAGCAACTACTGGTTTACTGGTCTTCCTAAAGAAACCAACAGAGATGAGAAGGAGTCTAAAGGAGTCTCAGGTTCTCATACAGTGGAGATTCCTAAAGCAGAGGATATGAAAAAGGAAGGACTCTTAGTTCTGGTCATCTACCTCAATCTCCATTGGTTGCAGCTATTTGAGATGCTGTTTGCTCAGCAGAAAAAGCACATCTATCCCCTCTTCAAACCTCCCTGAAGAGGATATCAAACACCCTGCTTAATGCAAAACTTTCTGTAATCATGACCTTGAATCACCCTCACTCATCTAAAACTGATGCTTTAGAAAAGAGGGTGGATAATGTTGAAGATTTCACAAGAGACTGGATGCATGACCAGAGCGAAGTATGAAGTCCGTTAGTGGAGTCTTTATCAATTCATTGTTAAATAGAACTCTATGAAGAATAATTGTGAGAACATCAGAGCTACCAGAAAAAGTTGAAGGACTTGGTGCACATGAAGCACTTACATTCCATAGCGATAGGCATCTGCGGATACCCTTTTTGCATTAGAAAGAATTGGGTTAGAAGTTTGAAACGCTATTCTGTGTTCTGAAGTTTTTCAGAACGCATTTTAAATAACGCATGGGCCCCTCCATCTGACTCATCCCATCTTTCGAAAACCCATATTAAGCACAAATTGGAAGGTAACCAGTAAGAAAAGGAGCATGAAGGTAATCTGGAGTCATAAAGACACCTTAAAATTATGACAAAATATACAATATTCGTGATCTTGCAAAGTCTATTCAGATGCACAGTAAATCTTTGACTTGTCAATCAGGATATTTTCTCTTCAGGCAGAAGGGCAATAGTTCTTTTTCTTGTCAAAACTTTCTGTAGTTGATCAGGGAGAGAAACACACATTTTTCATTTTTATGACATACAGCCACTTTTAAGCAATTCAATTGAGAAAAATAATTTGATTGGGCTAAGTAGGGCGATGAACGTGATAAAAAACTATACAGTACGAAAACAGAACTTCTGAAGATTCCCTTTCAGATTCTGTTCTTCCTGAACTTCACTCAGGTTTTGTTTAAATGTTATCTGCATTATCCCCCTTATTTTAGTGAAATTTCTATATGCTTTCAAATGATCATTTACATTTTTTTTCTATTTTAAGGATGATTTTTTTCTGACTGCCCAAGGTGATTGGAAGTTTATTTAAAAATTTGTTATGAAGCTTTTTCAAGGAGAGACGAGGCTGTTAAATTCAGTTAGTGGTAAAGAGACCGTTTCTGCTCCTCCTAATTCTGAATGTTCAGATTTATAAGCACAAAAGCACAAACTTCCTAAAATATGTCCCTTTTTGGCAATACATTTTTTTTTATGATTTGTATATCTGACTACAGTCTAAACACTTCCATAGTAATTTATTTATTTATTAGACAGCTCTCTTCTTACCTAGGAAACTTCAATTTAAATTTTCTTTAAAACACATTTTCTTGCTGATTGTCAGTCACCCTATTATCTTTTTACAAACCAGATATCAATGACTGAGACTATTAAATTTCCTTCCATGCACACAGCTTCTTTATACATTTTGATTTATAAAACATACCTAACCTGACACTCCAGATGTACACACAATGCAGTCTTTAAAAACCCCATACAAAACAAAAGTCAAGTTTCACCTAATCTGAATCTACTCATCCTTATCAGCCCTGAAAAAAGCGTAGAATAAAGGAACAGGGTTTGCAACATGCTGTGAAGGTCAAAACCTGTATCAGACCAAAAGAGTCTGGGCAATTTCCACTGTGAACTTCATCTTCCCAGCCCCCAAATGATTATTTCTAGAGCTTGTCATCTTGAGCATGTCATCACAACCTCTGGGTTAAAAACCAAGAGGAGAGGATCTTTCTGAGATACACAGAATACAAACAATAAAGAGAGCTTTATAGATCAATGCCAACACCCTGACTTGCATGAAATGGAAGCCAGTAGAATCTCTGCAGCGCAGGCGTAATGTGCTTCCTGCAGGAAGTACTGGTAAATAGGTGAGGAGCTGCATTCAATACCAGCTGAAATTACCCAACTTGTCTTCATAATTCTGTCAAGGCAACATTACCCTCTTGTAATTTCATAATCTGCCCTAAAATGGCAATGAAAGAACTAGACTTTCCATGCTGAGCTAGATAACCCAACTGTACTGAAGTGTGTTAACACAGGTTTTGAGGCAATAATGAACAGTCTAGCAAACTATGAACTGTAGGGTGCATTTTTGGATTCATGTACAAAGACTATACTGTCTATAACAGACACTGTGTTCACTCTTCTCCCAAGAAAGAACAATGAAAGGAATCCACCAATACCACTCCTCAGTTGGCGAGAAGGGCCGCTACTGAGCATGTTTGGTTTTCTCCCTCTGATAGGGGAATGTCTGCACTGGTCCCATAAAGCTTCAAATCTCCAACAGTCCATGGAGATGGAGAGGTTTTACATCAAGAATGTAAACAGACATTTACTTAATTAAAAGATACAGTAAAACTACATAGAGAAAGGATAGCAAATAGGATACTGTACTTCTTACTTTTTCATCTTTTGTCAGTAGTACATAAAAACACAAGACATTTTCCTTTAAGAAGCATGCAGAAGCTGTTCTAGCAGTGCTTGAAACTAAATTTTAAAGGCAACTCCCCTTCAAAATAATTAAAAAAAAAAAAATCAAATGACCAAAGAGAACAAAAAACAGACCCCCGTCTGCATCAGGTAAATCAATTTTGTGGACAAAAGAAACTATTAGACATTTAAGAAGGACCAGAAGTTAAATTGTGGCTCTCTTGAAGTCACTGGTAAACTCTCCTCCACTTCAGTGGGACCAGAATTTCACCCCTGGTCTCTACCTAAAAGCAATTATTCAAGTCCTTACTGGTCCAAATACTTCGATTCTTTTAATAAAGTATTGCTGTAATGGACTATATCCTGCTAAATTCTTCCACTTCACTCAATGAAATAGTGATGCCAAGCAGACTACTGTTCACATTCAATCTCCAAGAGGCACAACATTACCAACTACTCCATAACAGTAA